AGGCTGGGTATGGGTTTGTATATTTCCTTTATAAACTTATTTTTTTTTTATTTATTTATTTATAAAAAGAGAAGAAAGCAATAGGCTAATACATAAGCCTGTATATACACTGTGACGGGGGCTGTACTGGCTCAGGGGTAGAGGTGGTGTTTTGGTGGGGTTGTTGTGTGTATCTTAGCTTAAAAAAAAGCTGTATGGGGATGAAAATAAGTTATTTCATTTATTTTTTCAGAGAAAAGAAAGAAATACAATAAAAAAACAGGGGGGCCCCCGGGGCCCGGGGGGAGGCACCGAGTGACTCTGCGGCGCCGCGGCTGGCTGGCTGTAGCTGTAGCTGCAGGGTGTATATAGTGGTGGTGTTGGGGTGTTGTTCGTGTGCTTTTTATAAAAATATAATTAAATTAAACACCAAAAATAATAAATAAAATACTTACAATAAAATAAAAAAAAAAGAAAAACACATACAAAGGGCCCCGATAGCCGCTGGCTGCGTGGCGGCCTGTGGTTTGAGTGTATAGGCACAGGGGCGGAGGTATGGGGGTTGTTGTTGTTTGTTTTTTTTTGTTTTTTTATTTTTATATGCATAAAGGAGATGTATTGTAGAGAAATTAATAAAAAAAAAACAAAAATAAAATAAAAACAAAAGAATAACTGCATGCGCACCCCTGCTGCTACGCGGGCTTGACCTGCTGCTGCTGCTGCTGCTGCTGCTGCAGCAAAGCTGGCTGGGGCCTGCAGCAACGTATATGTATATTTTCTTCCTTTTATGGATTTCTTTGTTTTTTTTCTCTGCTTTTACCCTCATTTTACTCCTCAATTAACTCCTTTTTCAGCCCAAACAGCTTACTTTTATGCTGCTGCTGCAGCAGCAGCAACCACAGCTAGGACGGTCTCGATACAAGCAGCAGCAGCTGCTGCTGCAGCTCTTGGGGGCCCCCTGCTGCTCTTTCCCCCTCTTTGACTCCCTTGGGGGCCCCCCTACAACCTCTGTACCTCCTCTTCTCTGAGGCGGGGGCCCTTTGGCTCAGTCGCAGGGGGGCCCCTCTCCCGCTGCCCCTATCTGCTGCTAGCAGCAGCGTACCCAGGGCCCCTCTCTGCTTCCTAGGGGGGCCCCCTCTCTCTTTTTTTTGTGTGCTGCCTTCATCCTACCCCATCGAGGGTCTTTTGCACTCCGTGTGCTTCTCCTTCAATACCCTATAGAGGGCCCCGATAGCTGCAGCAGCAGCTAGCAGCTAGCAGCAGC